AAAGGTATAAAACTGAAAAATAGTACATTTTTTCAATAAGAAAATAAAAAATGCTAAAGCTATAGAAGTTTTAATATAATTATTTTTTGTGACATTTTTCCCAGAAGTAATAGAAATGCAACTAAACTAGTTACTGTTACAGTTATTGAAATAAATCGTTTCTAATAAAAGCATTACTATTTTTTTAGTCACAACTGTATACTTAAAATAGAGAGGAAAATTGAACAATAAGTTTAGTATAAATAACAATGCGACTGAGTATAAATAAATAAATACGAGTAATCGTGCAAAAAAAAAAATTATAATAAAATATATAAAAAACGATCTATACATATATAAAACACAAATCTTAAACAATTAGAGTCATTACACGGCTGACCACCGCTGTCAGTCGTTACAGCGAGAAAGGAAACGTTATAACAAATTCTGTCAAAATTAAAATAAATTCCAAAGAAAATTTTGCAATCTTTGAAACAAGTACAAGATATATCTGTCATAATATTACCATAAATTAAACAATTTAATATAAAATATTCAAAAATAAACGTGATTCAAACAGGTATTGGAAAAAAGTTTTAACGGCAAAAAAAAGTTAAATTAAAAAGTAAAATGTTTTTAACGCGGATATTGCCTTTAAGGCTTTTAATTTTGACATTACTAAATGTTGGCTGTGTTCGAATTATTAGCGCTAGAAATCTAAATGTTAACAACGCAATACAAAAGAGAGATGCATTTGAAGATGAAACTCCTGCTTGGTAAGTGACACCATGGAAAATACTATATTTGAACAAGTGTTGCAATTTAAAGATATTTAAAATTAAGCAAAAAACAACAAATTTACAGTAAAAAAATATAATAAATAAAACAAGAACAACATAAACAGTAAAATTAACAATAATTATAAAAAAAATTGCCTTGTCAACAAATAAATTCTGTTTATTAAAACACTGATCGAAATTATCGCATACACACCGTCAACCAAATACTCATGCAATGAAGATCTTTATTTGTTTGTTTTCTTTTTTTTTAATTCACATAGTACAAATTGAAATTAAATAATTTGTTATAATTACGTTTTGTTTTTTTACTCTAGCCAAATTTACTGTTATGGAAATCTGCTACATACTGTACAAATGGCCCATTTATTCGAGGATTCAAAGACATTCGTTGACATGAAATTAAAGTTTACGCCAGAACAAACAATTTCGGAGTTTGAGGCATTTATGGAATCAAAAAATAATGATCCATCACAAGACGATATTCGACAATTTGTAAATGTAAGTTTATTATTAAAACTTATAAACTAAGTAAAGATAGGTAACACAATTAATTTTTTAAAATTGTCCAATAACAATTCATTTATTTTTAGGATCATTTCGATGATTTAGGCAAAGAATTTGTTCCCTGGCTACCTGATGATTGGACGGACCACCCAGCCTTTCTTGAGAATATTAACGATCCTGATTTAAAACAATGGGGAGTAGATTTGAATGCTATATGGAAAGAATTGGGACGTAAAATGATTGATGACGTTCACCAAAACCCCCATTTCTATTCTATTATACCGGTTGATCATCCAGTTATTGTACCGGGAGGACGTTTCATTGAATTTTATTATTGGGATTCATACTGGATTATTAAAGGTCTTTTGTACTCGGAAATGACACACACGGCAAAAGGAATGTTGGAAAATTTCATGTCCATTGTACAACGATTTGGTTTTATACCCAATGGTGGACGCGTATACTACGCTGGTCGTTCTCAGCCTCCACTATTAGCGGCCATGATCGATGCTTATGTTGAATTTACAAAAGACCAACAATTCGGTATAGATGCTTTAGATGTTTTGGAACACGAATTCGAGTACTGGATGAATAATCACACAGTACAGGCCAAGGGTTATAATATATGTGCATATAGCAACTCAGCGCCAGGTCCACGTCCAGAATCCTACCGGGAAGATGTGGAGACATCTAAAGTATTTCCCACCGATGAAGAAAAAGAGGCCCATTACAATGAATTAAAAGCTGCAGCAGAGTCCGGTATGGATTTTAGTTCGCGTTGGTTCATCAACGACGAAGGCACTCGTAATGGTAATTTGACAAACTTGAAAACTCGCTCTATAGTTCCTGTAGAATTAAATGCTATTCTGTACTGGAATGCTAAAATTATCGCCAAATATTATAAATTGTCTGGTAACGAGGCTAAATCGAATGATTATGAAAATAAAGCTGCTTATATACTAGAGGTATGTTCACAAATGCTTAATATCTTCTTTATAAATTTATATACAAAAATATATTTTTGTTTTTAGGCAATTGAAGCCGTTCATTGGAACGAAGATGTAGGTGTGTGGCTTGATTATGATCTTATAAACAATAAATCTCGAAACTATTTCGTACCCACCAATTTATCACCCTTATGGACAAAGGCCTACAACTCTAGTTTAACGGAGAAAATTTCGGCATCAGTATTAAAATATATTGCTGAAATGAAACTGGACAGCTATCCTGGTGGTGTACCCAATACCGATTATCGCACTGGTGAACAATGGGACTTTCCGAATGTCTGGCCTCCCATGCAATATATACTTGTCAAGGGTTTAGAAAATTTGGGCACCGAAGGTGCTAAAAACCTTTCAAAAAGCTGGGGTCATCGATGGGTAAAATCAAACTTTAAAGCCTATAGCGAGACTAGAGCCATGTTTGAAAAGGTAAGATACGATTTTAAATTGTGTTACTTGCATTGTATAAATATTTTGATATTGCAGTATAATGCTGAAACATTTGGAGGGCATGGCGGTGGCGGAGAATATGGGGTCCAAAAAGGTTTTGGATGGTCCAATGGAGTTATAATAGAGTTCCTCAATCAATACGGTCGCGAGATCTCAATTTCTGCAAATAATAATAATGATAATGGCGGAGGTAATTCTGAAACAGACATCACAAACTAGACAAATTCAACAAAAATTAAGAAAATTATAAACATTGTTATCATAATGTAAATGTGCTCTCTCGTTCTCTGTCGTTTTCATCTTGAACTCATATCAAATTTATACATTTATCTTTTATTATGATTGCTCTTTAAAAATATTAACTAGAATAGAATCTCATGAAAAAATAGTAATTATTTAATGTCATATAATTATACTTATTTAATTCTTATCTTAATTGTATTGTATACATTAATCATTTGTGTCGATTGTATGGTTTCAGAACAGTTAAAAATAAAGAAAATCATTTCATATACACAAGTGAATTAGAAGTCTCTATTACAATTTGAAATCATTGTAAACAATCTTTTTTGAAACATCAATATCCATGGAAATAAAACTACACGTAAATACACGCATATTTAAATCATAAATTTCGCGTTGCTAAAGCAAGAACATACAAACTTTTAATATTGATTTTAGTTTGGTCCAAAAATAAAAAACGATTGCACTTTATAAAGACAAATACGCAGTCAATAATATTTAAATTATTGCACAGGTTTTCAAATTATGTGTAAATGTTCAGTATCAGTATAAAAATTTATTTTCATGTTTAACATTAAAAACAGGCAACTATGTATACTTCACCATTTTCATATTCACTGATCAAAATTTGAAGTTAAAATTTCGTGTTATTGAGTGTAAACAACAAATTTTTCATAATATGTATGTATGTACGAATTTATATGTGTGTACATATATGTAAAAGTGCGAAAAATATTAGAACCTTTTCTTATTTTTATTCTATTTTAAATTAAAATTTCTTAGGAAGTCTAAAAATGTGGAGTATATTAAGTGTGGCTAGCGTAGCAATAGTTGCCATAATACTTGGACGGTTCATTTGGTAGGGTAAGTACTAAATATTAATAAGTTAATTTGTGATCAGTTTGACCTGCAATACAATGTTTGATATCTAATATAAACATAATAATGTTCTAAAATTTAATAAAATTTTTATTTATTTTCAGTTATTTCACGAGCACAGCCTACGTTAGTTTCGTTGAAGAGCGGAAATCATTACAATTTTTGTATATGTTTTTTAAAAATGCAATTTGTCAATATTTGTTTTATAATTCTTATATGATTGTATTTGTATAAAAGTATTAGTGTTTCACATGAATTGAAATGCAGTATTAAAATATTTATTAAATAAGTAGAACGTTAATAAAACTAACTAAACAACAAATTGTGTTAACAAATTAATTAAAATTAACAAACTTAAGCATGTGTAAGATATATACTTTAGAGTTTAACCTTATTTTAGCCAAGTGGAATAGTGTTAACAGAAGTATTCAAAGTTTATTATACACAATGAAATCAAAGTAAAGAGGTATTGTTTTTACAAATGTATTTTCTTAACTAATCCGTTATTATTAATATTTGTGAAAAAACCCCCAGTTGGAAAAAAACGTAATTGCTCAAAATTGTTTGCAAAAGGATTGTCTATTCGGCATGTTTGTATATGGTTTTGTTAATCTGTTGTGGTTTATCGCTTTGTTTTATGTACATGTTTTAACAGTTGGATATTAATGTTAAAATAAATATTTTTTAGGAAAAAATAAGGCTGCAATGATCTTTGGCTGATCTAATGTTAATTAGAAGTAAATACCACTTTTTAAAAAAGTATCTTTAATTAAATAAAACCGCATAAACTAAAAAATAATAAATATCCACATTTAAACAACAGAGTCAATACATCAATGCTTAACGATATTTGATCATGCGCCTTTTATATGAGAATTTTATTCCCTCAACAACTTTAAATGCAAACTACAATCAATCAACATATAAAATACAGTATTTGTGATATATGTATACGTAAATTTAAATAATATCTATAAAACTATTTTGCTCCTTTATTATTTGAATTCTAATATCAATATTTCTAAACATATTTTTTTTTAATTTCTTAAGAAATGATTGTTATAGGATTTAAGTTGAAACAAATTGTCGTTTTCAATAGAATATAACCACCAATATAAAGTTGGGGAAAATAATAAAACGTGTATAGAATTTAAAATGAAATTTTATTGAGAAAAAATTTAATAAATTTTATAATGAATGTACTTGTACAAACATTTGTTTTTCTCTAGCTCATTCGCTCTTAATCTAAGAGTTATTAGTGGACACTGATGATTGCTGGGCAGACTCTTGGCTGAAATAGGGTGCTATATTGGGAGTGAGCAAAGTATGGCAAATATCACAGACTCGTGCTGGCCGCTGCCGTGGTCCAGATAGTACAGTTTTTGTTAAACATTTGTCACAGTAGATATGGCCGCAATGACGACAGTGTAGTTTACGTACAGTAACTGTAAAATGATTATTACACGTTGGACAATTGGCAACGTCATCGTCATCTTGCCAGCGTACTTCAGAGTCAGCATGCCTCAGTTGTTCCAATGTCACCTGAAATAGCGTTCCATTATACAAATATCTGTGCATAAAAATTTAAGAGGCACCTTTTTGATTATACCTGTAAAGTTTGTGATAATTGAACGAAATCTTTTTGTACTTGCTCACTGGTAACTAAATCGTCCTGCAGATTTTTTATTTTAGCCTTAGCATCTGCATAATTTCTACTAAGTTTTTCCTATTACAAAATAGTTGTGAAATGAAATGTTTTTGACTCGTATTTGAAATTTAATTTTTGGCAAAAAGTGATAATATGATTTGCGTTTTAGATGACGTAAAATTGTATGTAAAATTAGAAACTGAAATATATTTATTTACTTACATTTTGCTCTTGTAGCTCTATAATTTCTACCCTGAATTCAGATATTTGTCTATTCAATTCACTTTCTTTTCGCTCTAATGCTGTTTTTGCTAACTCGCAGTTTTGTAATGTTACTAAATGTTGAGTTATCCGATCTCTTAATTTTATAATACAAAATAAGAGATATTAAAAATACGATAGAGTAGAAAATAAATGTTTTAGACTTACTGCAAAGATTTTGTTTCCGCTTGGTACTTCTTTTTGTTTTGAATCCTTTCATTGTTACTGGCTTCCAACTGATCTCGCAAAATTTGGATTTCATCCAAAGATGTTACACATCGATTTTTTTCGAAATCACAACCCAAACGTGCTTGAATCAACTCATTTTGTTGCCTTAAAATGACTTCGTGCAATTCCTCAATCGTATTTGGCAGATTAATGTATTGATTTTCGATTTCTTCTGCTGTTGCTAAATACCTTCCAGATAAAAAGTCATTGTCAGCTTGTAAAGTTTCCAAGTGTTTGTTGACTTTTTCCCTGTCGTCGCTGACGCGTTGCAATTGACGCATTACTTCATCTTTGGTTTCTAAAAATTTTTGCTGTAACTCTAATAGTTGTTGTTCATTAGAGGTAACCTGAAAAAAGTAAAATGCCCTGTTTAGCGATTGCAACTTTCCGAAATAATACCAAAAATTACTTGTTCCCTAAGAATATGGACTTCGTTCTTATGAGCTTCTCTTTTTTCTTGCCACTGATTTTCTAGACCAGCTCTTAGGGCTGCTTCCTTTTCCAAATCTTTAACAGATTCATCAAATTGTTTTTTCAAGTTGTCGAATTCTTCCTGTTTTTCAGCAGCATTTGTTTTTAATTCTTCTATTTTCTCCTCTAATTTTGCGCAGTTTTTACAGTTTGATATTGTATCGGAATTCGTTTCACTTTGTGTGGCACGAAGTTTTTCATCAGCCTCCCGAAGTTTTTCTTTTAAAGCCTTCATTTCTTCATGTAACTGCGTAACAATTGAGCCTAACACCTCCGAATCCTCGTGAGTCTTTTAAAAAGGTAAAAAATACTAAATATTTTCCAAGACATCCGATTATTGTAATATACAGACTTACATATTTTCCATCACCTTTATTTTTGCTTTCTTCTGTAGGATTTTCTTGGCCAAAACTTGTCCCTAAGACTGAATTGGTTGTGTCTACACCAAATTTTCTAACTATTGTTTTTTTCACCTGACTCAACACTTGTGGTGCCAAACTACTTAACTCTTGGGAACTGTTGGAATTTGTCTGTTGTTGCTGCATCAAACTTTCGTTTAATTGTCGATAACGAATTGTTTCCTCTTTCAAGTGCTCTAATTCTGACTTGCAAATAGCGGACTCTTCAATTGTTTCTAAAATGATTTATAAATAAAAATTAATACATATTATTTTACTCCGCGATTAGTATCCAAACCTTGCACTAACTGTTGCAAAGACGATATCTCTTCCTGTGCTTTTACTTCAGCTACTATCATTTTGGATTTCATCTCCTCCAGTTCACGTTCCTTTTGCACAAACAGTTCTTTTAGCTTCGCCCTCTGGCTATTGAATCCATATTGCATTTTTCGATTTTCTTCCTCCAGTTCACGTATTTTTTGCAATAAATCTAATTACATATACAAAGTACAAATTAATGAGTATATTTATTGGTAAAACTCGATGATACACAATATTGTTTACCTGCACTTGTATTAGAGCCACTCCCACTTTCTCCATCGGTACTACTTTTAGGTAACTCACTAACATCAGGACCATGTGTCTGTCTATTATTTAAAACGCTTTCCTCCATTTTTTGGTAAAAATTTTGTTTTTAGCACATCTTAATTTTCCTGCATTTATTCCCTGCAATTTATTTTATTTTTGTTCCACCGTTGCCAGACTATGATAATTAGGCGATTTTCTGGGCTTGCAACGTTTAATGTTGTCATTCGATTACAAATAATTTCTTTCCCGTAAATATGGCACTACTAAAAATTGTGTACCTTTTTCCACTACATTTTCAGTGATCCACATGTGTTTTGTTTTTGTTAAAAAAATATTAAAAAGTTCTAAAACCTACATCAAATTTAATTAAATTTTATCCTAAAAAAGTTGTCGAATATAAAATGGTATTATTTACAAATTAGCATTTGCTTTATATTCTTATTTGCTAATAATTTTTCTATTTGTTTAGGGTAAAGGCAAAAAGGCTTTCATCGATCGAAAAAATGCAGTGACATTTCATTTGGTACACAGAAGTCAGCACGATCCATTAGTTACGGACTCTGAAGCTCCACAACGTGTGTTGGTGGAGGCAGGTGCTCGTCAGCCTCATAAACAAACTAGTGAACTTGATCCGGTCAAGCGAAAGGAGGAGCAACAGAAGTATGGAATTCAATTCGACGATGATTACGACTATTTACAGCATTTAAAAAAACCTGAACAAGAGGTTGTTTGGGAATACGTTGAAAATCCAAATCAAGCTAAAAAACGTGTCGATGAAGGCAGAGTGACCACTGCTCCAAAATTGAACTTGCCTAGCTCTGTTTTTGCTACCGAGTTTGAGGAAGATGAAGGTATGCTGAACAAGGCTGTGCCTCAGCTAGGTCCTCGTCCAGATTGGGATCCAGATGTAGTAGCCGCTTTAGATGATGATTTCGATTTCGAAAATGAAGATAACGTTTTAGAAGATGATTTCGTAATTCAGGCCATGGGTGATGGAGAAGATGACGAAGAGGATTCTTATGGATCTGATGTTGATGACGAAAGTCAAGACTTTGATTCTGATGATTTAATGGATGATGATGACGATTTTGATGAGGATGACAATGAGTTAATGGATCGCTTGGGTCCTCTAATGAGAGAACGTCGTTTTGCTAATGAAGAAACAAAGTCACAGTTTACGGAATACTCTATGTCTTCCAGTGTTATACGACGTAATGAACAGCTTACACTTTTGGATGATCGATTTGAACGCTTCTACGCCACTTATGATGACCCGGAACTGGGTGATCTTGCTACAGAAGAAATTGAAGGGTCTTGGGGTCAGAAGCATCCCTATGTATTAAATTGCTTGAAACAATTTAAAAAATCAGATCAGATTATTGAATACAATAAAGAATGGGATCAGAAACGTTTGGAAAAGTATAGAAACGTTGTTGATGGTGATAATGACCCCAACGAGGAATTAGTAGAAGTTGAAGTAGAAGATCCTAAAGAAAAGAAATGGGATTGTGAATCAATTCTTTCAACATGTTCCAACATTTACAATCATCCCAAATTGATTGACGAACCAAAACGTAGAAGTCGAAATACCTCTTGTTCGTCATCTATTCCACAAGGAGTGCAAAAAATTGATATAGATCCTAAAACAGGCATGCCCTTACATGTCTTACATGGTGACACTAACCAGCTAACCGCAAAAGCTTTGGCCAAACTCGACAACAGCGCAGACCAGAACGGCAATTCGGGACCCAAATCGCTCTGTGCTAAATCAGTTCTATCTACTTTAAGTGTTCTGTCTATAAGGCCAAAAGATGAAACTCCCGAGGAAAAGAAGGAGCGCAAGAGGCTACTTAAAGAATACCGCAGTGAAAGGCGTATTGAGAAAAAGGCCAATGCTGAGGCATTTAAAGAAGAAAAGAAGCGCCAGACTCATGTAAAATTGAACCAACGTTTAAATCAACAAGGAAATACAATTTTGTAGTTCCATACAATCAATTAGAATTTAAGAGCGATTATTTGTAAATTTTTGGTACATACAAACTACTATGTACTTGTTGTAATGTAAAAACAAAGTAAAACTAATGAATTTTATGTTTATTGGCACCAGCCAATGGTTTTATTTCATTTTTTGTATATATAAAGTAATTTTAAAACACTGCTGTTAGTCTTTCAATTTCTAGTAGGTCGCTTAAGATATCTTCAGTTTTTGTTCCAATTTTCTTAGATACTTCATTACGTTCAGCAACAGTCATGTTGGCGAATGACCATATTAAATCGCCGTCGATGATGCAGCGGCTTGGGTTGAGAGAAAGTTTTTTCGACATTTTTATTGTGCGAAACTCTTTTGGATTTAAGCCACATAGATGCTCCTGGTAAGACAGCAGGACATTTTGTAACATAAGGAATCGGCGATATACTTTTTCGGGCAGTGGTAAACAATAGCCAATGGCACCGTCCAAAGTCCCATAAACCACCATATGTTTATTTTCATACATAAATGGGTAGCGATGATTGAGGCCTCTTTGATGACATTGTACCCTAAACATGGTGTTTACGGCCTGTCCAAGATGAAAGTCACCTTTTCGCAAAAGTTTTTGTCCTCCTATTGACTCTCGAACTTCAGGTTGATACATATAAACAATAAAATTTCTTTCGGCGTCGGTAACAAGAAAGCCAAGATTTGAATTGTCTACCATAAACTCCACTCCATAAACTTCTAATGGATTAAAGTCTCTCGAAGCCAATGACAATGTGCGGAACTCTTCTTGAAAACGAAGTAAACTAACAGATTTGTAAACGTCAGCAATTAAAATCAGAGATTTTATAGAAATTATCTGATGAACGTAAATATTGGTATCGATAAATGCAACTCCAATTAAATCGTCGTCTTTTAATTGCCAAAGGTAAATTTTTTGACCCAGGGCTGTAACCAGAAAACCAAGAACATCTGCAATAGCCGATACGGGACCTTTCTGTTCTTTCTTAAATATTTCTTTCAGTTTAAACTTAGTCAATGGCTTGCCGGGTTCGGGAACTACCTCGATTATATCGTAAACGTGAATGTTTCCGCGAGACGTTATGTCTTCGCTGTAATTAAAGTTCGTTCCAATGCACAGATATTCTTTAAGGCCCGACCGGGTACCTTCATATGCGAGCTTCACTATCTGAAATGCTGTAACATGTTCCCAACTCTCAAATTCAATTGACGCATCTGGAACAATTTCCCAGGTTTCCGGGCTCATAAGAACAATGCTAAATTTAGAAGCATTCGGGTATATGAATCGTTCGCCCTTATTCTCCTCTGTTAGTTCTTTGTCTTCGCCGTTGAAGCGGAAATATTTGTTACTGGCTTCATCTGTTTGAGTGACGAGACAGTAGACGCGGTTTTCTCTATGATATACAATTTGACGGGGTGTACAACGGAGAGGAACTTTTCTCACAGGCCATGGTGAGTCATAGGTGAGATAGGTTGGAAGAATGCATATTTTTAGATCGAATGTTGTATCAAAACACAAAAATCCTTGTGGGCAGTTTACATTGTTAAACGGCGCAAAACTACGTAAATATCCATTTCCAAATATTTTGTGAACTCTCATTTCGCCTTTACCCGTCAAAAATATAAAGCAAGGATTGGGGCCACACACTACTACGCCGTTTAGCCCTGATATATTTGAAAAATAACGGAGTTTACTTATGTAGCGGTCTTGTAAATTATATGAATCCAATGAATCAGCATATTCTTCGTCAACGTCCATAGGTTTCGAATCTTCATCCAACATATTGATGCTTTGTAATTTTCTAAAACGAACCTTCATATGACCTTTTCCGTATCGATATGCCTGATAAATTATCAATTCTAGACGGGTTCGTATCATGAGTAACGGCCTACTGCCATTATTTCCTAATCCAACCATTGCTATTTCCTGCACCGGAGGAGAGTTAACATGCTGTGGCATACAATTTAGAAGAATTCCTTGTTTATTGTCCTGTTGATTCAGAGTCACTGGTACAAATTCCATGGAATCAGTGAGAACCGTATCACCGTTGCCTACGTCATTCACCAAATACATTAACTTCATATCTGGCATAGAGTAGATTTCCAGAGTACCGCTCTCTCTTGCAACTACCAACCAATAAGAAGGTTTCACCTGTACCAACAAACGCCTCCACCAGTCTGAATTCTTTTGCTTTGATTGTTTTGCCAAGTCAGCCATACTATTCATTTTAAACGCATTTCCCGATTCACCGTACAATAAGTCTTCTTCATCTTCGATTTTCATGTTAGGTTCTGCTTTCATATAGCCCAAGCCACTGTACAATGAATTACCGCCACTGCCTGTAAGATTTAAGACCTCATCAGACTTGGTAGTAAACAAACCCGATAAGTCTTTATATGCGGCCAAAGATATAACTGCTGGAATACTACTTATTGTATTCTTGTTAATAGCCAAACGAGGTGTTCCTTTCGTTTCGCGAAGAGCTAGTGTTATAACTTTGCCATGAAGTACTCTAAGACAAACATAAGGATCAGCTATTGATACTTGTACAACAGGAGCTCCTTCATCTATCGGTACATTTTGTATGAGACGCTTTCCCTGCAACAGTCGAACTGAACGGGTAGTGACCTGGACAATAAATCGATTTTGTCCCAAGTTTCCAACAAAAATTGTTGGTTGAGTGCAACAGAATCCAGTATTTTCAATTTCATTAATCTCTTCGCCAGTTTGCAAGACCAGTGTTGATGTGCGTTGAGACAATATCATGAAATCGTGGTGGTCGTGGCGAGATGTCTTTTTACTCACATCGTCATATAATGTCCAAACATCAAGGCATCCTTCTAACTCGAACGAGGTTATAACTTGAGGATTAATACAGTTAACGAACACACATAGGGAGCCATTCTTACTGTGGCCACTGGAAGCCACAACATCTATTTTTAAATCACACAACTGGTTAGCTTGAGGGCGCAATGTGGTACCGCCCTCTTCGAACTCAACTCTTTCACCGGCACACATAAAATTAATTGGACCAACATTGAGCAAACTATCGCAAACTTCAAAAATATATTTTCGCAGCTGAACAGAGGTCTTTGTTCCGGACCCATATACTTCCAGCTCCTCATCTTCAATGCGACGACCTTTACGGGATTCCTCGTTTACTACATTGTTAGCATCAGACATTTCAACTTCATCTAATGTTATTACAGTGCTTTGATCTTCTTCTGTAAAGTGAAGTAACAGGGAATTGCCCAAACGAGATCCGAGGAATAGGTATTCACTTTGAACTACACACATACAGCTGGTAAGAACACTTGCTGCGGCCTTATGGAAGTGAAAGTTACGTACCGTTCGCATCGAGTCGACACACAAGGTAACAACATATAGTTCGCCACTACGTAACGATACAACTAATTTATCGACATCTATGAACGCAATATTAGCGGCATCGAGACTTATACGGACACCATCTTGTGGTTTCAGAGGAAAACCAGTGCTATGGTCAGCTGAACTATTCAAGGACACTCCATAAGGAGGAACACTTTGATTAAGATATATTATAGCATTTACGGTCGTTACTAAACAGCCACCAATTGGCTTTTGTATGGGAAATACTTGCAAGCAATCAAATGGCAAACCCGTAACTGTCCATATAATGGGATGAACACGTTGTTGTATATTTAAAGAAATCGCAACCAATACGCAAGTGTCAGCGCGGACAGCTACACGGCCAGGGAATGTACGCACAGGTTCGTACAATATTAGTAAAGTTGGTTCATAGTAGCCATGTAAAAATTGCAAATCTAAAACATTGTCGATTTTCTCGTCGAGGTCTCTAAGTGCAATAAGATAGGAAGCCAGAATAGGAGTGCGTGCCACTATGGCAGTGGGGGCCTTTTTAATAGGCTTAACATCTGCCATCTCAATTTCATCTATACCGTTTTCTTTACGAAATGGCAGAACAACTAAACGCTTACCGTACACCAGCATGACAGCACACCGAGCATCGGGGTCAACACGTACCATTGGAATATAATAGCGACCGGTCCAGCCATCTCTGATCTCTTCCTCTTCAAAGAAATGCAACGATAATGTTTTCAGTGCAAACGTGTCTGGGTCATGTTGAACAACTGACAACTTGGCATCCTTAAAACTTATAAGAAGTGCGTCTCTCATGGATCCCGTCAAAGTTACACTTTGCAAAGACATTACATTTCCGTATAGAGTATACGATGCAAGACACTCTAAACGCATCTTTGAAGGCGCTCTTAAGTCATTTGGATTTAATTTTTGCTGTCTTTGGCTTCCATCAATATTTGGATGAATTCTATAGATTTTTAAAATATTGGCGCCGGCAACCACCACATTTTCTTCGATATTGTTAAAGAATCGGCATGTTATAGCAAATTCAACTGCTGTTGCAGGATGAGAATTCTTACATATGGAAAACATTTTATTTGCTTGTCCTTTTTTCGTTTATATTTTGTATATTTTCACCAATTATTTTATTTTTTCAACATTTTCAATGAACACACAAATAAAAAAACTTCAGCTGCACAAAATGTAAACATTGAAGTATTGCCAGACTGTTTCACTTTTGTTTACATGCGTCGTTCATTGGAAAAGAAACAGATGGATTGAAACAGATTTGTTTATACACATAGAGAATGATGATACCAAACTTCCGTGCTGTGTATTTGTTTGCGCACTCTCTTAACACAACTATTACGTCGCATGGGTGGTGAGTTACCTGATCCCGAGTAGCCGGGATTTTGTATACCCAAGACGATTTCTGGTCTTGGTCAAGATTTTCTTAAGCTAGATCTTAAAGGTGAGCGTGTAACTGATTCTGCAGTGGATCCATTGGAAACACTAGGGACCATGGTGCTCATAGATGCCACAGTGCCGAGGCATTGCGTCTGCCAGTATGTGATTTGCCTTAGGCTTCGGTCACAGAAATACCTTTATAAGATAAAAGGTAAAAAATTATAAAATTTTAGATCAATTCTCTTCAGTTCTAGTTCAGTTTTAGTTTTGTTATTGTTCTGTTCTTGCCTCAACTAGCAAATAATTTACTAAAGTCAAGACAAGAACCCCCAAATGAAGAGAAAATTTTGAAAAATTTTGAGATGACAAAAAAAATTTTTGTAGTAAAATCGTTCTGAAATTTTGTTCGGAAATTCGTACTCAGCTTAGGTACTAATCTTGAATGTCAAATTTTTGCAGTTCTAGGCCTCAAACTTTATCCTAGAGGGTTAGGACTTAGGTTTAATTAATTTAACTTGTGGCAGAAAATAATAGACTTATTCATAAACAAACTTTTATTTTATAAACTGTTTGCAAATCAAAATTCGTATGGGAATTTTGTTTTATAAAATAAAATGTTGTTTATGAATAAGAGGGTAAAAGTATAATAAAAAGGCAAATATTTATTTACTTCTTATAGATTTCAAAATTATTTTGTAAATCGTTTTTATTTTAATAACATAACTCGTATATTATTATTATTTTATAAATAATTATTTTAATAACATTTTAAATATCTATTTGCATTGTTTGATTGCGACAATGATTAGGAGTTAAAAAAATATAACAATATATGCAACAACATTTAATTTGTGATCTAGTTTAAGGACGTAACTGAAAAATAATATTTATACACTTATTTACATTATAAAAGTTACGTACATTTCTATCTAACCAAACATAATATAATGCAATTTTAATGTTTTTATAAAAAAAATTAACACATAAATAAATATACATATAAATTTCACATATATATACATACACATGTATGTATGTAGATAGTTAAATTATAAACGTTTAAATAAAAGCAAAAATATTACTTAAATGCTAATTGAAGGAATTAAATAAATTGTAATTAATTGTTATTCGCATTTAAAAATTGCAACGAACATTTTTAAAAAACTCTAAAAATATTTAAATGATCTGCGAAAGTTACACAAAACCATTTCATAATATGTAACACTAACTAGTGAACTAAAATAGATGTAGACACCAATTCTAGGCAGCCGTTGATATTTTGCTAGTATTCGATTGATGGCCATCTGATTTCAAGCCATTTGTACTCTTACTGCTACACGACGGACTTGATTGAGTTGTTCGCAGTTCGGGGGGTAAAAAGATTTTAACAACATTTGTGATTTTCACCCGACAATTTGGACAATTATCGCATTTAGCTGCACATTGGTCACATGCCATGACGTGGCAGCAGGGGTTGAACATCGTATTTATGGCATGATCCATACAAATCTTACATGTCATAGCCTCCGAAATTCTCGAATCCACACATCGCTCAATGGCAGCCTCCCTTTCTTCTTTTTCACGTATCACCATATCCAATTTACTTGCCATAGAAGAAACACTTTTAACATTTGGATCTTCAGCATCTGCGCTTTCGGCTAAATGGGGTATATAGCGAGCAATATCTCCCAAACCAGCACCAGCACCATGAGTCGATGTTTCAATACCCCGTTCATGTAATATGCGACGAGCTTGATCATGTACTTCCCGACTGGTATGTTGAATATCGAAAACATATCGCTTTCCAAGTTCAGTATCTTCTTTAAACATTGAAGCTATGGTTCCTTTAAGATCGCGGGTAAATTGATTCGTTACTACACCCCTTACTTTATCGCAAACGTAAAAGGCATGTCGTTCAGTTATTGATCTGTACAGGCCAGCTGCAATTGCATGCTTTGGTAACTTTATCTCTATTTCTTTTCGATTATTATGATCGTCTACGTATTCCAATTTAAATGTGCGCCGAAACGATTTAGCCGCCGCTATTGCACTAAAGGGAATGCTAAAATAAATAGAATATTAAAATTAGCATGATGTACACTTTTTAAATGGTCAATATTTATTACTTACTTTTTTTCGTTATCTCCAGAGGAAACTTTAATACCATGGGCACCCACTGCTATATCGCAAGATTGTGAAGTTTCCGAAGTTGTAACGCCACTGAAAACTTCTTCGCCATAACCGGGTAAATCTTGGATTTCTTGAAGCAGCCAATATTTGGCGGATTTGGGCGACATCTTTAGCATAGACAATTTACCGTGCTCCACGGCAATTTGCTTGAGGAAATCTTCAGGCATTTCATTGTCGGCTTCATCACTTGTGGGAGTAATTATATAATCTTGGTATATACGTAGCGGTGACGCTGCTATACGTTTCTCTATGGATATATCCGTTTCTTGGGGTTTATTATCACAGGTACTATTTACATCATCAGATACTTTGGTTGAATTTTCATTTGTACTAGAGGTAGATTTGTTGTTGTTTTCCGCTTGGCGTAAGTTACTTGTTGAGACCGTTGTAGCAGAATTTGAGGTTGAAGTCTGGGAAGATAATTGAGCATCATTATCTATATTTTCCACAGACTTTTGCTTCGATAAACGACGTTTCTTAAAAGAAAGCACATAGTCTTTTTCTTTACGTTCTTTTCCAGTGGCACCATGCTGCTGTTGTTGAAGTTGTTGCTGCTGGAGCTGTTGTTGCTGCTGCTGTTGGAGAAGTTGCTTTAAGCGTTCTTGTTCTCTTTTAATTTTTAGAGGACATTCGGATTTCAGTGAAGCTTCATTGAAACGCAAACCATCAGCTTGACATAAGAGCGCCGCAAGCTTGGCAGCACTCGACCAGCTTCTCGCACATAAACGTCCTTCCAATAGGTCAGCTTTTGCTTGCATATAGAATAAATTACGCACACTTTCCTGCAAAATGAAATGAACCGGAACCCAAAATTTGACACGCAATGCCAACATCAACTGTATGCCACTACCACTTCCACCATCGCAAGAAAGTCGATTGCGCAAATTAATCCACTGATGAGTGCGAGATTCTTTTTGATTGGGAACCCAATGTTCTAAGCCGAAATATTCCATTTCGCATATAACACCCAATGCTTTACACACCTGCAATAAAACAAAAATCAAAAGTTAATTTCGCCATATGATTAAAAAGTGCTAAGTATAGGAGCTTTGAACTTTAAGATTTTCAGTTGTATTTTAAAGATTTTTATTTCATAATTTTTTTCTCATAAAAAGTCATCTCCCTAATGTACATATACATACATATGAATGTGTAGATATTCGTGTATCAAAGAAAGATACATTTATAGAAATGATAATAATTTCCTCAAAATTGTTTAAACTGAAAAGTGTTTGTTTATTAATAATCAACAGAATCAATTCAATGACAACGTGGTATTACCACAAAGATTTTATACAAACTCCATATTTTTCATTTGGACATACAACATACTCGTACATAGATGTTAATGTAGATACTTGTGGATACATTCATAGATATGTTTGTATCTATGTGCAAAAATAACAATAAAAACTAAAATTATAAATAAAACAACAACAGTTGTATCTAGTATATATACAGCTGTATGTATCTGTATGTATAAATAAATATAAAACAGTCACTCATTCGTAAACACGAGTATAAAACATTTGCCGCTAAATTGAAAAGTACAAAGTCCAAAAAGTATAAAAAAAAAACATTATGAGAAATACCAAATCCGCAAACACACAAATTCGCACATTCTTACATACAAATGTTCATCGATTCAGAAATATATGTATGGATGTACGATGCGAATGCAGCTTTAGTCATGTACTCATGGGTAGCAGCAAATGGACCAACTATTCAATAATATTATTATTGTTATTATTTTGATACAGATGTTTATGACTTTCAGATACAATTAATTTATCTCTAAGTAAATAGTTATGCTCTTATCTCACTCTTCGTCTCCTGTGTTCGATGCAAAGAAACATTCTCAATTAAATTGTGTTTCAATTAAAGAGAAATACTTTAAATTTAATAGATGTTATTAAATTGTTTTATTAATTTGGTATTCATAAGATAGATTTCATCAAATTTAATAATTCGAGTAGAGTTTTTAAAATTTGACCTTTTAATATTTGAATTTTATTTAAAAACATTGAAAAACATTTTCACGTGATTTCAAAATTTTATTATTTTTAGCCAGAAAAAATAGATACATACATATACATATGTATATTTTGTTTAGGAAATATTTTGCATTAGTATTATTATTTATCGTTAAGTCATAAATTTTTTAGGAAAAAGAAACAAAATCTTTTAAATAATAAAAGTGGGAGGCCAGAATTAGTCCCGTGACTGTTTTATTTTATAAGGTAGAAATCGAGAATTGTATTTTCTGGAAAGACCTAAAAACACTTTACTATTTTTATCTAATCAAAAACTTAAGTTAAGTGACTTAATTAACTGTTTTTATAAAACTTTAAGATAGATAATAAGTATTTACATACAAAACTTTCAATATAATAATTGCTTTATACGTTTTTCTTTCAAGCCTTTCTCTAGACAACTAGTTTAAAAATTGTATCTGGCAACTTTAAGCAAGAGAAAAATGCGAAATTATCATACAACTAAGAGAATTAAATTGTAAAATAACAGGTAAAATATACATTTTTTGTATCTTAATTTTTGCAAAGAGCCAAAGAGCAACATGTTGTATGTGTCGCTGTAATTGAAACTTAGAATGTGTTCAAGTGTAAAGATCTTTTTTTTGTGGTTTGTTTTGGTCTCTCAACGAAACCCAAAGACTAGAGAGAATCACGTTGGAATTACCGTCAAAACGGAGACCCCAAATTTTGAGTATTTTGTAGAAAAAGCTAAAATAATATTTTGAAATTGGACTTTGGACTGCGACCCAAACAAAACTTGGACTTTGAACACTGCTGTGTTGCTCATGCTTGTTTTCATCGATCAATGTGTTTTACAGTGTTCATAGAAAGAAGATAGTGATGATGATGATGATGTTGAAGTTGATGAATTTGAGGGAGATACTTACTAAGTACATACACACTTGTTTGCAGAAATATACATACAAACATACATATGTATCTACTTAGTACATTGTTGTTGCTATTGTTGGTTAGTATTTATAATTTTAATTAAAACCTATGCATGTATGTAAATATGTTAAATTCATAGATACATTCAATTATACATACATAACAGGTATAAAGCTGGCTTAACTTCCAGGTTTTGTAGTCATTCTTGTCGTGCATGAACTTAAAGTCTAAACATACATAAATATGTATATATTTACATACATACATATTGTATCTACTTATAAGTATATTTATTGAATTTAATATCTTAGAGATGTTCCTATTAATACTCTTATATATATTGCTTTAATTGCACTTTGTATTGTACTTTTCAAATACAAATGTTTGTAAAGATATTCTGTCTGTCTGCTCGTATGAGAATGTAGATATGTATGTATTTTATTTATTTAATATAATGAATAAAATAAAAAAAATCAACGTTAAATGTTACATATCTAGAAGCACGCGTTCAGCGAGTGATCTTGATGATGACGTATTGTTTATTATTTTCAATGATAAATGTACTTAAATGCCGGCAAAGAGTTGGCTCTGATTGTTATGTTATTGCTCTGTAGTTTTTTCTCATATCAAATAAAGGCGACTTACTTATTAAGGTGTATGCACTAAAAATTTCCCTTCTTTGTAACAATTTAATAAGATATTTTTACTTCTGGACCAGTTAAACCGATTTGTGTTAAAATAAGAAACATCAAAAGTGCTTGAACGTATTTTAAGTTATTTCCTTGAAAACGGGTTTTGTTGACAAGAGTCATTAAGAACTAAAAAGTTCAAACGGTTTTGAATAATAAGTTTAATTATTTGATTTTCTAAAAAGATTTACTTGAAATAGATATTGTTATTCCCAAAACCTTTTAATTTATCTTCAAAATTTCTAGTAAAAAGGTTTGTTATTCTTTGATTTGTTTTTTAATTTAGCACTTTAATTTAAATAAACTAAATTTATTCGTTATTTATCCACAAAAAAACATTTATTTTTATTACATTTTTTTAAAAAAAGAAGACAAATAAAAATTCGATTAAGGTTAAAAAAACGCAATTGCCATTATTTTTGTTTAAATAAAATTTTAGCTGATTTAACTTCATAAATATATGAACAAAGAAAGAAACTAGTATACTGACAAATACATACATACTAGTGTATAAACATATGTATTTGTATGTTATTTATAAAATTATAAACATTTTGGCACCTTGGTACGTTTTTAAGTAGCAGAGAAAGTACCGTATGAAATAATTTTGAAATCAATAAAAATAAAATTAAATAATTTCAAAGTACACATTTATACATTTCTAATTAAAAGTTTACTTAAAAACATATTTAATTAAAAAGGCATATTTTAAGTTTAAAATAATTTAAATATTCTAACAAATAGTAAACATATTAAAATTTATAAGCGCATTAGTATGTATGCAAACAATATTTGTTTTGTACGAATTTAAGTAAAAAAATCAATAACAGAATTAGAATAATTTCTACATATTTCTAATTGATTAAAAATAAATGGTTAATGAACTTGCTTGTTTACTACATATTATAGTACTTAACAAAAACCTTTATAATAGTACCTAAATACGTACTTTTTTTTTGAAGTATCTCATTTTAATTCTGATATCATCCCCGTTATATGTATATACTTACACACATACATTTACAAAATTTGTATTGTTTTGTTAACAAATTTGCACATCGATTTCGAGTTGTTTCACTTCTGGCTGAATATTTAAAAAATTGTATGTACATTTGGACATGTTCAAATGTAGGTGTGTTTTAAATTAGTTTATACTATTTTTGTACATGTTTAGAAAGACTTGAGACAACGTTGCCAGGCTTTAAGAAAAACCTAAACCTCTAAAATTTTAAAATTTAAATTATAGCTTAGCTATAAAAATTAACTAGGGTGTCTGAAAGTTACCTTCTAATCGGAAGTGTAATTGAATTTATTCAAATTATAATATAAATATCAATGATATTTTAATAAAAAGTGCATGTACATATATAATATAAAATTCCTTACAAAAAGTATAAACCCTGTCGACCTGGCAGCTCTGTGCGGAATAACAATAATAAATAAATACTATATCAACAATATGTATAAACAACATTTCAGAAATGTTATGTTTTTTTTTACCACAAATACCACACCTATAAAGTATTATATACCACACACTATTAAATATACAGATTTTAGCAGAATTAATAATTTATACATATACTACATAGATAGATATAATAAACATATAAACCAAATAAAAAAAAACCTGACACGAGTCTGGATACTGTAAATATTTATTTTTCTTTCTTGTTATTGTTTTTTTTTTTACTATACCTACTCGTATGTGTGTGTTTTCTTTACATTTCTATTTAAGTACTATTTCTTTGTCAAGTCGAATGTATTTTAAGGATTCCACATACATATAAAAATTGCATTAAAAATTAAAAATTTTATAAAAAAATTCAATTTTAAATTTAATAATTATTTCTGTATACACACAAATATTTACATATGTATATAAATAAAAAAAGAATATGTATTATCCAAAGATGGACATTTTTATATACATATTATTAAAGATAAAAATCTACAAATAACCTACAAAACATCAAAAAGATTTAAAAAATATGCCTTTTTGAATTCTTCTATTCAAATATGAATAAAAATATTTAAATTTGAATTGAGTATTGAATAGGAATGAATATACTTGTTCAAAGCTGTTAACAAATCCAGTTTGACAAGTTAGAATTACATCTCTGTTAATTAAAGTCCCCTGCAGTACGACGAACTAGTTCGACAACGACCACTAAGAACTACAACTAGTGAATTTCCAACCCACTAGCAAATGTTATTTACTGTTGCATTTAACATGAGGATGTTATTGCGAGTGGCCGATTGTCTCCTTTTTCTCGAATTTATTTTCATAAACTTCATGAGAAATGTCGAAATGTTGTCAACATTTTTAACACTTTAGTGGCGGTTCTCACAGGGAAACTTTTGATTTTGTGTGTGAGAAAAAGAGAACGAAATATCAACACAAAATCAAAAGTTTCCCAAAAAAAAGATTCCCTGTGTGAACCGGCAATTATTTGCCAGAAGTTACTAGTTAGTTGGTTATGCAGTAATATAACTAGTGAAAGGTAGGATCCTTATAGAAAACGCAGCCGATTTTGATACGAATGTTAATGAAAAATTAAAATCTAATTTTCTATAAACCAGTTTTTTATGAGAAATTGCTTATTTATGAAAAATTGACTTTTTTTAGAAAAAATAATTTTGTTTTGAAAAGTCTTTATGGAATTTTTATTAATTTTAATAATAATAAAATATAATAAATAAAAAAAATATAATCAAAAAAGGAGAAGTTTTTTATAAAAATCGAGTTTTTACTAAAAAAAAAAAATAATTTCTTTTTGAAAAATGTTGTAGACGTCATTTGTTTTTAACTCATTTTTACAAATTTTATCATTTACATTAAATTCCAGTAATACGAATTATTTCAATCAAATCATTTCATTCGTAAACAATACTAAATCATATATTTATTGTGATAATATATTTTTAAAATGATTACTCAAATTTGAAAGCAAAGTCGAATTTTTATTATCTTTTAATATTTACTAATTTATAATGCTATTTTTAATGCCATAAATTATTAATATATTTATTATCAATTTATTTAAAACGAAGTTGTAATGATAATAACTTTCAAAGAATATAAATATAATCATAATTAATAATGAGTCACACCCCTTTTTGGTTGAAAATGTAATTATGTAAACAAAAAATTTAGAATATTTTTAACAAAATTACACATATAAATTAAAAATGCAATAGACTTTTTTAATCTTGTCAGGAATTTAATAACATTATACATTTTTTTTGTTTTAATTAAAACAAATTTATTCATTCTTTGTGCCTGCTACTACTCGGGGGTCAATAAAACCATTTTGTTTTAAATAGCATTAAAATTTTTTATATTATTAGTTTATTAATTATACTATTTAGAAATAGTTACTAACTAAACAAAAATGCTAAATAATTAAATTCTAGTGATAACAATTTATTTCATTTAATTTTTAATCAAACTTTATGGGATGTCATTTACATCACTACACAACTAAATATTTAAATAAATTAAATATATTCCTATGGCTGTTATTTCTAGTAAATTAATAATTTTGCATTGTAATCAAAAATGTAATTTGAATTCAGTTTATTGACTGGCGCAAGTTTGTAAGTGTAAACATTTGTTTATAACATGCACGTGCATGAATAAGGAAATATTAATTAATACATATTTACATACAGGCAAATTTTTATATTTATTTTATTTATATTTTAGTTTAGTAAAGTTTCCATAAATAAATGTACATTTGTTTTTAGAAATAAAGAAAGAAATGCCAGAGAAATTGTTGCTAAGTTCAAAATTTTTCAAATCTTTTGTGAATAAGAAGAAATGATGTCAATATAATTTATATATTTTTTATTACATACAAAAATGTAGTGAAACAGCAGAACAATTATAGTGTTTCTAAAAAGGTTTTATATTTTTAAATCATTTATTAGCCGTTTTTTTTTAAATATTGTTATTAAAGTCAATAGCACTACCGGGAATGAAGAAATTTTTTATCATTTGGTGTAATAACACAGCAAAATCTTTATTTACCCGGTAAGTAGGCAAGTAATATTGGAGCAAAGTGTAAGTAGTTACTTTTTGGGTGAATAAATACTTATTTTTGTTCGACGATGACCAAAAAATAACTGGTTACAAATATGCTTACCCGATTTTTCCGGATTTAAAACTTTACAGTTATTTTCTTTACTTAATGCTCCATTAACAAGTTATCAATATTTCTTTAAATCAAAATTTCTTTTAAAAAAGTCTAATATCGACTAGAGTTAGAACCACTAACCAATCTCCTATTAGACATACGTTATAGGTAATTGACTACAAATCCCATTTAAAAAATAACGATAACGATCACTCATTACCAAGTAATGTATGAAATAACTACATTACCTACAATACTCATTACCAAAATTTTATTGATAAAGATAAATATAAATAATTATGCATTTTTATATTATTATAAAGCAATTATTCATAAAGTAATAACAATTTGTAGAACGTATTATTAATTTTATTTTAGCTTTATCTTATAAGGTTCATTGTTTGTTAAAATGTGAAATTAAAAAAAAGAACTCAATAATGATAAGATAAAAAAGCATTCTAAATAAAGTTGATTAATTAATGTTAAATAAAGGTTTAATTTTATTTGTTTTATACTTATACATATGTACCTATATGGGTAATTTCATGTCAAGTGAACCAACTTTTAAAATCGAGTACTTCCGATTTGGATGAAATTTGCAACAATGTTAGTATTATTGGATAGAAGGATACACACAAATTTTCAACTCTATCGGTCAAGAACTGCCGCAGTTAGAGGAGGTCAAAGTTGTTCATTTTGATCATACAGGGTTTTATTCAAATGAGTGTAACTTTAAACCTATTGGTCCTAGCAAAAATTGTCCAAAGGAGTTGAGATTGCGATTTCTTCATTGTTTCCAAAATTTTTTTAATTTTTTCAAATTGCCCATATACATACATACATAATTTTTAATTTGTATTTCAAGTGATAATGAATTTGTAGGTAAGTACCTACTCGTTTAAGTGTCATTTTGTGTTTATCAGTATCGGTATCAGAAATAAAAGTATAGCTAAATATGTATTTAGTAACAAATCGAAAAGTATAGTTAAACAATAACAAGCTTATTTATTTAATTTTTATTAAAAAAAGTTAACACCGTATACGACTTGAACTTTGGACACAGTTTTGAACGTGAAGCATTTGGTGTTTTGTTAATTTCCAGGTGCGTGTTTATTAAAGTTTTTTTTTTTTTGCTTTGCTAGTACGAACGAAGTATATACGAATATCTATCTACATCTATATAAAAATATATATTTATATAGATACGATTGTATTTTGTCATTCTCTTTATAACACTTTGAATTATAATTCTGTGGACTTTTGTCAAAACAACTACATATGTACATTCGTTCGAAAATAACAAATTTACAGCGGCATAAAAACAACATTATTTGCTATTTAAACAAAGTTTTTTAAATAACATTTAATTCCTAGATAAGATTATTTTATTTTATCTTTGGTTGATGTAGGTTTTGAAAACGTGTTAAACTTTAGCTTATAGGCAAAAAAGTAAGTACAAAAAATATCGGAAAATTTTAATACTGAAAATCAGCATAGCATCAGAATCTTGACTATTTTTCATATATTTTTTACAACTAAATGGAAAATTTTGAACCCTCTTTAAATATTTTTTATAAAAAAATTTGTTTCTTCAGATACTTGTAATGTTATATGGCAACATTATTGGCTTGATCTCTTTAACAAAATCATCATTGTTGAAATCAGAACCAAAATTTCGGCATTTAAATTTAATTTAAAAGAATTTTAGGGACCAATAGATATTTATATTAATAGTTATATGTATAATTAAAAAATTTTTTAAGCAAATCTTATAAAAAATTAAAGAAAATTATCAAAAAATTTTAAAATTTACCTTTTCTAAGCATTCTTGGCCGATGGCTTTGGGATCCCATTTAACGGCTTGTTGTGTACCGTTTGGCAAATTTACAATGCACCACATTTTGGATATTTTTATTCACGTTGCACGTTGTTTGCCACTTCAAGATACTCGTTTTACTCTCTACTCTAGAGTACGTGATTTTCGTCAGCTGACTAGATAAATTTTGTATCTTTCAGATACAATAAATGTATGTAGGTACTTGAATATGTAATGTATATTTTTACAGCAGTTTTTTTTTTATTACTGTCGTTTATGTATTTTGTTTTGTTTTTGCCTTTCTTCTTTATTGTTATTTATTCGACTTTTTTGTTTTTATATTATTCACAAATGCTACAGGTTAAAGAGTTTATTCTTTCTTTTCTTTGTTTCCTACTTTGTTTTGTTTTTTTTTTTGTTTTATAAACGTATATATACCTAAGTATATGGAAGTCGGTATGTATATTTAAAAAAAAAACAAATATTTTTTATAGGTTTTTTGCTATTTATAAAATTAATAAATAAATTTTCGTTTTTTATTGTTGCAGTATTTAAGTATTTGGTCTATATATGTTTGACTTTATGTAGCCACGACATTTGTTGTAATGACACAAATTTATAAGTGTACAAAAAGTTTCCATTTAAATTGATTTTAATTCGATTTTTTTTATATAAAACTTTTTATATTTATTCTGGTTTATTTTATCGTTTTTTATTTTTGCAAATTTTGCCTTAATTGTTTGTTTCAATCAACAATTTGCAAATTGTTTAAAAATATATTAAATATTGTTCATATGTTGTTTTGCTTTCACAATTTTATTTTTCTTATTTTGTTTTCATTTCTTTAATTTAACTTTCCGTTATATCCGACAAGTAACGACGAGCTGTTATAGCCAACTGAAGTATCGCATACAATTCACATCGATATGAAATACTTTTTCTAAACAAGAAAAATTTTAAATTAAATTATCGCTCTCTTTCTGTATTGAATTATCTCTCTTTAACAAAGATTTTTACTCTTTGGTGTGTAATCATAAAGTGTAAAAATAAATGGCGCAGTTAGGAGAATTTTTTAACCGCATAGGGCACTTTAACAATGTGAGGTTACTTTTTGAAATATTTGTATCTAATAGGACATTAAATGTACTGATAGATACATTAGAGTGCTCCCAAATTATGTAGATGATTAATACATGTTTGCTGGTGGTCCACAAGATTTGTATCAGACATGGAAAATTTAAATTTCGAAATAGTACTGACATTTACCAATATTATTATTTTTTAAATAAAATTTCTTTTTGGTTTTTTTTCTATAGGATAGTTCACAAGCAAGTCTGTAAACTGGACTATTAGCAAGTCTGTAAACTGGATTATTAGAGGATTAGTATTTTGACTAGTATGCGCACTAATCTATGGAATAGTCTACGGACTAGACTATAAGTGGACTAATCTATAAACAAGTCTGTTGATTATTCTATGGGCTAGTCTATTGACCAGACTATGGGCTAGTCTATTGACCAGACTATGGGCTATTCTATGGAATAGTCTATTGACTAGACTATGGCTTTGTCTATTGACTAGATTATTGTCTAATCTATTGACTTGTCTGTGGACTAGTCTATTGTTAAGTCTATTGACTATTCTATGAATTCGTTTATTGTCTAATCTATAGGCTACTCCATTGACTAGTCTATAGACTAATCTAGTCTAGTCTATACACAAGTCTATTGACTAACCTATACACAATTCTATGGTCAAGTCTATTGACTAGTCTATGGATCATTATTAACTATTAACTAATCTATTGACTTGTGCATAGACTAGTCTAAAATTCTCAGAATTCAAATGACTGTATGAATGTTTATTTGAATGCGTATTTTCATATAAAGAAGTATTTACAAAGATACAAAGAACCATTAAAAGATATTATTTTTCAGAATTTTAATGTGGAATTTTTATTTATAACTAGGTCTTACAAGGTCAAATGTATATAATAATAGCAATCACGTGTGTTTTTTTTCAACTAAATCCAAAAATATCGAAACAAAACCATTATTCGTATTTTAATTTGTTTCACAACACTTACATACAAACATCTCGATCATATTTAAAAATAATCATATCCTATAAGTACATTCATATGCCGGCTCTCCAGTTTAAAAATAACATTAACTGAAACATCAGTTAATGTTAACCAACCAACCAAAACTCAGTAAGTAAAGTTTAATCAAAGAATATTTATTATATGAATACGCATCTCGACGAGTGGGTTGTCATGATTTACACGTATTCTTAATGTATGAAAATTTATTTTGTATGAGATGCACATTCTATGTATTAAATATTCTTTGGTTTAAGTTTTATTGTTGGTTTAATAAAGATCATAATTACTGGTTACTTATTAATTTCAAAGTGAGTTTTAAATTTCACCAAACTAGTAATTAGTTAAATATTTTTGTGGAGTCACACTAATGTTCTTTTGTTTACTAAGTTCATTTGTTAACATTGACCAATATTTTTAAGAAAGCTTATGATTGTTCATGACAATTTCACTTGTGAAATCCAATTAACAAATTTTTAACCTTAAAATAAATAAATTGTATAATATATTTGTCAAAAGGTAGGGTAACAAAAGAACAAATATGTATGTTTTGATATATTTTAGTAAATTACCAATTTCAACAAGTGTCGGAAATAAAACTTACAAAGAAATATTTACTAATTTCGATTTGGCAGCTCTTATTATAAGCTATGTAAAGCTTTTATAGAATGGTTTGTGTATTAGCTAAAAAATCATTTGGATCATTATAAAAGTTGCCAGATTTTATAACATAAAAAACGTTACTCTAGGAAAGAATTTCCTTTTTGCATTTTAAAGGTACATGTGCATTGAATTTTTTCGCTAATAGCGTTTGCCACTGAGCTTGTTAATAGTGTTTGACTAGATTCATAAGTTCTGTTTTAATTTATTAAAAATTTAAACCATTAATTCTTTTAAACATGGGGTCTTATCTAAAGTAGTTTCGGCAATAAACATTAAGAAGATCATCACTTAAAATTATTGACTTCTAGTTTGTTTTACAACCCCCGTGGTAGTTACGTTTGATCTGAAAATACCTACAAATCCAATTTGAGGTTTAAAACCATAATTTTTTGTTCTACAGCAATTATGATTAATAAGCAGCATAATAATTTTTGTCTGTTTTTTTAAACAAATTGAACTTTGTAACCGTAAATATATATTTCATTAAACATACATATTTATGTATTATTCTTAAATTTTTGATAACAAAATAATAATTGAAAACACCTGTTAGGAGTTTGTAAATACATTTACAAATCCAAAGCAAATCGGTATACATATATCAAAAAATCATCATTTGATGGCATGCTTTCATATTGACCTTTGTTTCAATTATTTATAAGAAAATCGAAATAAGCCAACAATTATTTAGTTCACATTTTAAAAGAATAAGATTATGGTAAATACTCATTGGGCTCTATCAAAACAAACATTTGTATGTATGTACATACTTATGGAAATGTATATTAGGGAGATCCAACAAATTTCTGCTGATTTCTTCAAGTGAAGATCAAAGACTTATTAGTTTTACTATACCATCTTAAGTTAAAATAAACCGAACTTAAATGTATGTTTTCTAAAAATGATATGCACATGGCAGGTTTCATTATCAATTATACTGCAGACTATCACGTAGTGTTAATGTTTAATTTTGGTGATGCCTCTAATATATTATATGCATATGTACAAAGTATTTTCTTTTTTTTGTTAAATAATGTTCATTGACATTTTTGCAAATGCAAAACAAGAAGAAAACAAACCAATTATATTTACTTTTCAATTTTTGATGAAATTTTTAACCTTTAAGAATAATCTTTATTTGTTATAGAATAAAACATGTATATTTTTTGAAACGATTTCTGATATTTTCTGTGTTGGCATGTATTTATGTATATAAAACAAAACAGGTACCACCAGACTTTGGGAATCATTAGTCAAAATTTAAAAAAAAAATACATTCTATAAGCACACAATCAATTCATACTGTTTCTATGACCCCATATGACTGGCATAATCAGTCTACAAAAGATAATACTGGGAAAGAAAACAAAAAATAAAAATAAAATAAAGTATTAATAGCAAAACGAGTTGTATTTATAGAGTGACACTTTTTACACAAAGTATTAATTCTGTGATATTTTTAAATCTTAACTGTGGCAACTGGATGTGTGAATTCAATATAAAAAATATCACTTCAATTTTCACGCAGAGAAAAAAAAACATGGTTTTATCATTTTATCATATATGTAATTGTGAGAATCTTATTATAATTATTTTGAGAACTATAACATGATTACCTAGCGTCAATATTATGATAATTTATAACGATAATTTAATTATACTACCCAATCATTAATTATAGTTTTAGATTATGTTTCTGTTCACTATGTATGCTATTTCTCTCCATATAGTAGGAGCCCTAGTTTTTTTATTACATTATTTTTATCATAGTTCACATGTACTAATTGATAAACATGGAGTAATTATAGTTAGGCTAGTTTCCGTGGTAACAATGTTCAATTTGAAAATTCTATTTAATTCGATTACTTTCTCTGATACGCCGCACATGTTTTTGTTAAATCATCGTGATAGTGGGTGTTAGCAGGAATTATTACGCACGAAATCAAAAGAAATACTACTATTTTTTAATAAAGATTAGTATTTATTACCCGTTTTAATTTATATTTCATTGATAACAATTATAAGGCAAAACAAAACTGTTTAATAGAGTACCAAAAACACGCGTGCATACTATATTTCAAGAACTTCCTAAATTGCTTTTAAAAGACCTTTAATATGTATATTAGACCTGCTCTTAAAAATTTGATTTGCTTGAAAAGGTATTATATTATTAGATCTAAAACTAACTGATCGTCTAGTACTTTTTCTAACATGGTAAAAATTGAAGTAACAGTTTTTTTAAAAATAAAAGATTTCGTTAACCGATTAGTTTAAAATTTAAATTATAATAGATATAGTTATACATATTTTAAGGAAAAGGTGTATTATTGCAGAAATATCACAATATTTTCCTTAATATAAACTTTGGAGTTACAACATTTTGTCACTCAGTGAGCGTTATGTATTACTTTTACACTTATTTTTAATCTTATCGATAATTATTCAACAACACATTAAATAAAATAAAGACTTATTTGCTTTATGATTCTAAGATTGATCCATAGTTATTATATACATACATACATATGTATATGTATGTATGTAGATTATGGCCAATACGAATGTTATAAAAACAAATTTGGCTGTGGACTTTGTTCGTCTAGAAATTATGTCAGCTTAAATAGTACATAGGCGTGACTAAACGAAATAATAAAACAATAATTGGGTGACTAAAAAATTTAATAACTTTATAATATTTCATACACAAAATACTTGTTCAAAGTCTGCCAAATTGTTCCAACACTACGATAATGTGTTTAGCAGACGGCTGGGTATTCCATTTATGGAAATATATGAAGAAAGGAGTAGTAAACGTTTAAAACAATTTGCATTTTTCAATCTTAACAGCAAAAAACCCTGATATACATAATCAATTTTTAAAATTTATCAATGATTTTTAAAAATAAAGTAAAATTTCCATACAAAAGTTTATACATACTATACTATAGTACTTAAGAAATTGATTATGAATATGAACAAGAGTATTTAAATTAATCATCTAAAATAAAAAATAACCTAACAACAAAAAGCATTTGTATATTTGAAATATGCAATTCTTTTTTTAAGGAATAAATACTAAAAGTCTTAGACATAACAATTTATCAAAGGTTTATAAGACAAATTTTGTTCTATAAACCT